ATTGTAATCCAAACCCTTTTTTATTTTAGTCTAAGCTCACTTTGTTTTAGATCAAATCCATATGTTTTATTCCAAGTCCACTTTATTTTAAATCCAAGCCCAATCATACATATCTTCCAAACCCATATGGTTATATTAGGGTGGTTTAGGTGTCTAACTAAATACTTAGGCTAAATAAACACCTTAACTAATCAAGTTTAAGTACCTAAACTCATTTGTTTCCATTAAATTTCGAAAATCCCTCTCCCTAAACTCGAAAATTTCCAGCAGTGGTATATCCCAATGATCTATACCAATTCGGCCATAACTCTTTACATATAAATCTAAATATCACAATATTTTACAGAGAGCTAGTAGAAACATAGATGAACAATTTTTATTCTTTGAATTTTACCCATAAATCACTCTAAAATCCCTAAATAAATCACACAAAGTTCAAAACTAAAAATTTTTCAGCATGTGGTACATCCAAAAAATCCATACCAAATTGGTCATAACTCTTTATATATAGATCTAAAAATTATGAAATTTTATAGAGAGCTAGTAAACACATATATAAAAAACTTTTGTTCTTTGAGTTTTACCCAAAAATCACTCTAAGATCTCTAAATAAATCACACAATGTTCGAAACTAAAATTTTTTCAACATGTGGTACATCTAAATGATCCGTATCAAATTGGTCATAACTCTTTTTATATAGATCTAAAAATCATGAAAGGTTACAGAGAGCTAGTAAACACATAGATGAAAAACTTTTGTTCTTTGAGTTTTACCCATAAATCACTTTAAAATCACTAAATAAATCATGCAAAGTTTAGAATTTTCCACCCCTAAAATTCAAAAATTTTCTTTCAAAATTTTTCTTTTAAAACACATTTCTCATCACATATAGTTATCACCAAACCAACCCATCACACATGTATAATAATCCATCACCATACATATACATGGCATACTTACACATTCTAACCTAAAGTTTATCATGAAATACACATCCAACATTCAAAGTAAATCCATCATCAAAACATCATAAATCCATCACCAAACATCAAATTTTTAACATCAACATAACCTATCATAATCACATATTACATGGCTTAAAAAAAACCCATAAATGAAACATGTAAAAGAGAACTTAAAGCATAAATAAAACTAAAATGAAACCAAAAGAAACCTACTTACTATGATGAGTGTTTGGTTAAGATTTCTTAGCCTTTTTCTTCTCTTTCCTTTCTTTCCTTTCTTTCCTTTCCTTTTCTCCTTTGTTTCTTCCTTTTTCTTTTTCTCCTTTCTTTCCCTCAAACTCACATTTTTCTCTCCTCTTTTTAAAGGGCATGAATTTTTGGCTAGAAAAACTGACAAGGTTTCATCTTTTCATCCAATTTTAATACTACACTTTTCCTTTTTTATTTTTTTATGTTTAATATGCCAAGTGTCTAATTTTTGTGGTAAGAGAGGTCAATTGATGGAGATAAAAAGAGAGGCAAGTTGTAGTGTTTGACCTTCCAAAATTAAGTGAGAAAGTACAATGAAAGTATGATGGAAGATTTTATATCAAATCATTAATTAAAGAGAGAAACTAAAAAGTAATTAAATTAACCAACTTCCTAACCTTATTTGGTCCATAAAATTCGACCATGACTCTTACATGGGACATATTTTTCAATTGCATGGTCATTTTAAATATATATTATAGAAAAATAAATAATGGTTAATTAAATTCCAAAGAAAGTATTCCTATGAACAATTCCATAAATCTTAAATATTTTCACACCACAAATATAAAAGAAATGGCACATAATTTATGCTCACATAATCGTGAATATTTCAAGAGATATTTGGGCTCGAGAATTAAATTTCGATATGCCAAAATTAATTTTTAAATAATATATTTTTTGAACCCAAGCATCTTAAACTCACCAAACACAAACATGACACAAAAATCATAATTGTGACTTAGTAGATATAGATAAAATTATTTTTATACGTATAGCTACGTTATGCAAGTTTACGGGAGTTACAACTATCTTGGTTCCTACTTGGTACCGGGATATCATAGCATCATATCAATAAGATGCTAAGGCACGAGAAGTCATCTCAACTAAGGAGATTCATGCTAGTGCTTTCCCTCGGTTTTCTTACAATGAAGGAATACCGAGGTATAAGCATAGGATTTATATTGGGGACAATTAGGAGTTGAGAGTACAATTAGTGAAGGTCGCTCATCGATCTGCTCGTTGGTGAACATACGGAATTCATAATACCTACGAAGGCTTAAGCAAGCCTTCTATCGGCAGTATGAAGGTATTAGTTAAAGCACGGAGTTGATGGTTGTGATACATGTATGAGGGCAAAGTCGAAAAGGGTAGCTTGCCCGAGGCTACTACAACCTTTGCCAATTCCAACAGGGGCATTGAGGGATATCTTTATGGATTTCATAGAGGGTTTGCCCAAATCGGAGGGCAAAGACACTATTTTAGTGATGGTTGACGAGTTCACAAAGTATGGTCACTTCCTTGTTCTTTCTCATCCTTTCACAACGAAAGGATGTGGCTAAGACATTCATAGAGCATATTTACAAGTTACATGGTGTACCAAACTCCATTGTTACAAACAGAGATAAAGTCTTCACCAATGTGTTTTGGAAGGAACTCCCTAGGGGTCTAACTTTGCATGAGCTCGACCTACCAACCCAGTTAAATGGCCAAACGAAAAGGTTGAACCAATGCTTAGAAACTTACTTAAGGTGCATGTGTATGGATTGTAGTGGCTGCATCTTAAACAGTGGTGGTACAATTTTAACTTCCATTCAGCCATTCATATGACTCCATTCCGAGCTCGAATGGCTACCCACCACCCCATGTGGAACTCATTTTGCATGGGACCTCTGCTTGCGGCCGCTGTGAAGAAAGTGGTATGGGAAAGAAGAGCTATGGACCTATTTCTTGGAGCACAATTGACCAAGGCACAACACGGAATGAAACAAATTACGGATCGAAGAAGGCGAGAGGAGGTTCGAAGTAGGGGACAAGGTTTATCTTAAGCTTCAACCTTACGGAAAAATCAGTGTGGCCACGAGGAAGAACTTTAAGCTCAATCCTAGGTATTTTGGGTCTTATGTCATTTTGCGGAAGGTGGGATAAGTTGCTTACAAATTGGACTTGCCAGTCATCGCCCTCATCCATCCGAGTTTTTCATGTTTCCCTTCTTAAACGAAAAGTAAGCACCAATGCAATGGTGGCCACCGAGCTACCACCCATAACGGGAGAAGGATAAATTAAACTAGTGTCTACTGCTTGTGTTGGATAGCAAACTTATAAAACATAATAACCAAGTAGTGGTTATGGGGTTAATTCGAGTATGAAGGAATGACGGTGGATGATGCCACTTGGGAGGTGTTGGAGGATATGGAACATCAATTTCCGAGTTTTGCTTTGATCCTTGGGGACAAGGATCTACTCGGAAGGGGTATTGTTACGGCTTCGGTGGAACCATGGAAGGTAGAGGAATGTAGGCAGTGGAGTGCGAGCAATAAAGCTTAATAGGCGAGGTAGCTATAATGGAAGTTGCGAAGAAGCGACGAGTAGATTAGTAACAGATCACTTGATGAGGTGGCAGAGGTAATAACAACTTGTCGACTTGACAATTGGTTATAACTAATTAGGCGATGTGGCACTAGTTAGTTAGGTCGTTAGTCATCGACTAGTATTAATAACGTGTAACGGCTAGTTGAGAGGATTCATTCAAGGAAAAATACAAGAAAATCATTTTCTGGAATTCTCTCTCGTCTCTCTCTCTCTTCTTCTTCCTCTCCCTCAAACACTTCTTCTTCTTCAACTTAATTTTGTTAAGCAAAGTGCTTAACACATTTTTTCTCTTTTTTAAGGAATGGTTAACGCTCTTCCCTTCTACTTCGACATCTGTAGTGCCTCTCCTTTCTCTCTTTAAAGGATAATTGTCTTCAAGTATTTGGGTAAGAGATGAAGGATTCGGCGGGAGTACTTTTGGCACTAGTGAAGACGCAGTTAGGGTTTTTAAGTGTTTTTGGTCTGCAAAATAAACCTCTATTAGAATTTTGAGACATCGTTGTAGTTTGGATAACATCGACTGGTAGACTAGAATTTAAAGGAGTGGAATGAATTGGAGTTATCCGATTGTCAATCAAGGATGAAACTTGACGATGGAGAAATAAAACAATTAAAGATTGACTTTTTGCTCAATTCTCATAAACGGTAAGATAATACTATAAACTTTTATAATAAATATTTTAAAAATATTTAACAACCATAAAAATACCACTAAAAAGAATAGTAAATCTGAATTTAGGTTAATAGTGTAAATGAATTTGGATAAACAATGTTTCAAATAATGTAATGAATAATAACTATAGGTTTTACTCTCTCTCTTTTTTTTTTTTTTTTTTTTGGTAATTTTAAACGAGAGAATCAGTCAAAAAGTATAAAGATAAGGGAAATTTTTGATGTGTTGGGCCAAGTTGTTACGAGACCATAAGAAAAAGGTCTCATGATTGTGATAAGGCCTAATTTTGGTGGTTTATGGAGGAATCCAAATTTCGTACCCAATCAAAACACGTGATAGAGTAATGTCGTGGTCTTGAGCAACAGGGCCAAATGCAAATTCTGTTTCACTTGAGGGACAGACTTTCTGTAGTTAATATGATTAGAATAGAACATTGGATTGAAGTAAAGAAGATATTCATGCTTGCTAGATTAATATCTCTAAATTTTTATCCACATATAAGAGGTACTTGTTTGACAATCCTTGTTTCCTTCTCAAAACCCATCGAAGAAAGAAAGAACCAAAAACTAAAAACATTATAAATAATGACAATAATATGGACTCCTGCCCGGAATCATCCATTCTGTTTCCAGAGACTGGCAACAGAATGTTGGCTTGCATTTCTTTCAACATCCACTCTGCCTCAATCACAACCCAATTCCAAGCATTCTCTCATTCAACATGGTAGCATAGATCAAGTTCACATGTCATGGAGTTCCTCCTCTTCATCCTCGTAGTCCTCATCAGCTGTGGCATCTTGGTACTGCTGATACTCGGACACCAAATCATTCATGTTGCTCTCTGCCTCTGTGAACTCCATCTCATCCATTCCCTCCCCAGTGTACCAATGCAAGAAAGCCTTCCTCCTAAACATGGCAGTAAACTGCTCGCTCACGCGACGGAACATTTCCTGAATTGATGTCGAGTTTCCAATGAATGTCGACGCCATTTTCAGGCCTGTAGGAGGGATATCACAAACGGTTGATTTGACATTGTTTGGGATCCATTCAACGAAGTATGAAGAGTTCTTGTTTTGAACATTGATCATCTGCTCATCGACTTCCTTGGTACTCATTTTGCCCCTGAACACTGCCGAGGCTGTCAAATACCGGCCGTGGCGTGGATCTGCCGCGCACATCATGTTCTTTGCATCCCACATTTGCTGGCTGAGCTCCGGGACGGACAAGGCGCTGTACTGCTGCGAACCACGTGAGGTCAGAGGAGCAAAACCCACCATGAAGAAATGGAGCCGAGGGAAGGGGATCAGATTCACAGCAAGCTTTCTCAGGTCAGAGTTAAGCTGTCCTGGAAATCTCAAGCAACATGTGACCCCAGACATTGTAGCAGATATCAGATGATTCAAATCACCAACTGCACCCAAAAGAAACATGAAATCATTTACAAAAACATAAAGACATCAAAATCCATGGCTAAAAATATATGAAAATCAAAATTCTTTTCTTACAGCTTGGAGTGGTGAGTTTGAGGGTACGGAAGCAGATGTCATAGAGAGCTTCGTTATCAAGGACCATACATTCATCTGCATTTTCAACAAGCTGGTGCACAGAAAGGGTTGCATTATAAGGCTCAACAACTGTGTCAGAAACCTTAGGAGAGGGAAACACAGAGAAGGTAAGCATCATCCTATCCGGGTATTCCTCTCTGATCTTCGATATCAACAAAGTTCCCATACCGGATCCGGTCCCTCCTCCTAATGAATGGCACACCTGAAATCCTGCAAATCCAACAAACAAACACTACATCAGCAACAAAACCAAATTTAGATCTAAAAACAAAACAAAAAAAAAAAAAAACACTAACCCTGCAAGCAGTCACAATTCTCTGCTTCTTTTCGGACAACATCGAGGACAGAATCAATCAACTCAGCACCCTCGGTGTAGTGGCCTTTAGCCCAGTTGTTTCCGGCACCAGATTGTCCGAAAACAAAATTATCAGGTCTAAAAATCTGACCATATGGACCTGACCTGACACTATCCATGGTACCAGGTTCAAGATCCATAAGGACAGCCCTTGGAACATACCTTCCACCACTTGCCTCGTTGTAATAAACATTGATCCTTTCAAGCTGCAGCTCAGAATCTCCATTGTACCTTCCAGTCGCATCGATCCCATGTTCTGCACATATCACCTCCCAGAATTTTGCACCAATTTGATTGCCGCACTGGCCTCCTTGGATGTGAAGAATCTCACGCATTTTCAGTAAATTTTTCTTTTTTGTTGGTTCTTTCAGAGGAAACGGAGAGAAATAATTGAGAATTAGAGGTAGAGAGAGGGAAGTAGGGACAGGGGAGGGGTAATTTTATAGGAAGATAGATCTAACGGCTGGAATTGGTTTTGGGTTTGAATGGTGAAGCGGGGTGTGTGTTGGTTTTTGAATGAGTGAAAATGAGTTGTAATTTCTGTAACGTTGAGAATTTCGAGCTGGATGTCTATAGATTTTTGAAATTCATATCTGATAAGACACAGCTGGATGTTACATAAATGACTTTTTTTTTCTTTAATTGGAATTTTGCCCTAAATAATTGGCTTTTTTTAGAGTAAATTATAAATTAGTCCCTCTTATTTAGAAAAATAAATTATATTAGTCTCATTTAAAAAAAACTAATTATTTAGTCTTTTATGTTTTAATTACGTCAACAACTTAATTATTTTATCAGTTTTTTGTTAGATTTTTTATTTTGATTCTCAATTTGCTATTCTTTTGATTTTTTTGTTGAGAAAAGAGAAAGAGAATGAGTGAAAAAGATAAAATAAAACATAAAAAAGATGATTGTTTTTAAAAAAATCATTAATCTAAAGATAAACGAATGAAAATACTAAGCTGTTGACATAATTAAAACATAAAAAGATTAAGTAATTAATTTTAAAAATAGAAAGGACTAATCAATTCATTTCTTGGAACAAGAGGGGCTGAGTTATAATTTACTTTTTCTTTCTTCCGTTTTTCCGCAAATGGAATCTCTACGTGTTGGCCTCTTCTCATATGTTGCCAGCAAACTAATTGCTGCCATTCATTCAAAGCAAGGAGTTTTCTATTCTATTTTTAGGGATTTTTTTTTTTTAATAGGTGAAGATGTTAATTACTAGAAAAGCAGATTAATTTAAAAGATAATGAGATTTATATTGAGCGGTTATGCTCTTTTAGAGATTTATATATAACAATAATAATTCATCAAATGAACCTAAAGTTGTAGGAAAAATACACACACGAGAATAAGTATGTATTAATAAATAAGTAATATAGGTGTATAAGCTCGTTTTAAAAAGCCCATTCGAAGGTGTTTCTTATGTGAATTTTTAGGTATTTTTTGAAAATATAATTGCCGACAATAAGATATAAATGTTTGAAAATGGAAACTCTTATTGATATAATTTTATTGTGTTTGTTTTATGCAAAGATTTCATGGTGAATTTAAACAAATTTAATATTTCATCTTAAAAACTTAAAACTTAAAGTCTATAAAATCCAACTATAATAAATTTAACCTTATAAAATTCAAGCTACCGGATAAAATAATAAATCTACTAACAAATTACATAATATACAAATTATGTCAATAATTTTAGCAGTACAATAAAGTTATTCAAATACCCATTAGTTGTTCAAATTATATGTATGTATGTGAAATATGCAATATTCTCTAAATGTATAATAAATTTAAATACTTTTTCTTACAGAAAAATAACTATTTCAGTTTAGATATATTAGAGTAAATAATGATATAATCTCTATGTTTTTAATGAAATAATAAATTAATTTTTTTAGTTTAGAAAATCCAATGTCAAATTCCCACTTTCATATTTATTTGTAATTTAGTTATTTTGTTAGGTTTCTATGGCATTTTTTCCCTAAAATGTGGAAATGACACCCTCTCACAAATTAATGTAACGCACACAAAAATCATTATTCTTGTGGTATTTTTTTATATATATTTTTAATGACTTTCATGGACTTTTATCCAGTAATGTTTCAATTCAATCCCTTAATTCATTTTCGATCCGTTTTGGTCTCTTTTTTCATGGATGGAAAGAAAAGGAGAAATTTTGGGAGAGAAAGGCATCGGCCATGGCATTTCCGTGAATTATGGGATCACATTTGAGGCGCTAAGGTTATTAATTACAATAATAAGTCCATAATAATAATAAGAAGAACAATAACACTAGAGAGTTTTAGCAGGTATATATATGTTTGCACGGGGTGATCTTAACTGGAGCACGGAATAGACTAACTCCGATCCCAAACAGACTCTTTAAGTTAAAGTCATAACCCTCAACTCGGCCGTCCTTAAAAGCACTCCATCCTTCTCGAACCAATTCTAGGGTTTCGTTTTAGCAAAAGCGGAGCTGAAGAAGAAGGTATCTTCATCTTCTATTTGTGTGCGATTAATCAGCAATCAAATTTCAAAACTTTAAATTCTTCAAATTTGTTCATAGGAGCATCAGTGATGAGTTATCCAAATCGTTATCCTTGCACTTTGATTTTGCAGTGAAGAAAACCATGGGGACAGATTTCTCTGAGATGCTCTTCTCTCTCTCGTTAATTTGATTTTTTAGGTTTCTTTTTATTGTGGATCAATGATGCTATTGATTTTACTGCGTTATCTTCCTGCATCTAACAATGAAACGAAGATAATTTTTTACTTGCTGAGATCCATTTACCTTCACAAGTTCTTTCTCAGATAAAAACTATTTTTTTATGACAAGTTCTTGTTTTGCTGATTGGAACATTCTTGCTAGCTTGTTTCTATCTTTTGAGGGGATTGATGATGTTACATTAAAAAAAAAAACTGCGTTATCTTTCTGAATTTTCCTACATGGAATTATTGGAGATAACTATATATAACATGCTGAGATCCCTCTTGATTTCTTAATTTATATTTATAAAATTAAGCCAATCTCAGTAAACTTTGCAACTCTACTAGAAATTATGAACTCTCTGGCTCATTAATTCAATTTTTACCTATATATTAAGCAAATATCTTATCCGTTAATATATACCAAGAAATTACTTTTTATACACCTACTTGATTTTAATATTTATTAAAAATAATTTGTTAAAATGTTTTATTCAGTTTCTGTAATTTTCAAAAAAAAAAATATTGTGGTTTTTAAAATTATTATTTTTGTAATTTAGTCCATTATTTATATTTTTTTGGTCCTCAAGTTTCTGTAAAAAATATTTTGTTCTCAATCTTACGAAGCTTTCATGGTAAGGGGGAAAAAAAAAGGACGCGTTCTCAAAAATACTACATGGGTTATACACCACAACAAAAACAAATCCTAATTTCCAATTATTTCGGCCTTACACAGGCGAAGGCAGGAGATTAGCTTGATTTGTTTCTTCCCCTTTACGGTATCTAAAAATTCCAACTGGTTTTGACCACAAGCCGCGTCCCAAGTGGTTGAGCCTTACACAAGCAAAGGCGGGTGGATTAGCTTCAGACGGAGGAGGTTGATTAGCTTGATTTGGGTTTTCGTTTCTGTGTTGTCTAAAATTTCCAAGTAGCGTGGTCCGCCAGTCGAGTCCCAACTGAGCTGTGTGGCGTAGTAACTCGGACAACTCTTTATATGATCCATATGTGAGTCTCGCATATAAGCAGACCCATAGGATAGAAAAGATGCACCCCAAAATTGGGTCAAGAATGACCAGGAGCAAAATGGTGGCAAAGCCGCTAGCAAAGAGGCGGATGTAGCCAACAATAAGATAGTAAATTGATCCACGAGCTCGGAGCATAACCTCAGCCACTGAAGCGGTGGCGTAAATAAGTAGAGCAACAAAGAAAGCGAGCATGACCCAATTGTGCGTGTCAAATGGAGATGCCATCGTGGATTTGTACTTTACTTGGAATTGGGCATTCAATGTGTTGACTAGAACAGCAAAAACGGCCTGCTGCGTAATTATGCTGCCATGACAACAAAATTAAAATGGCTTCAAAAGTGAATTCAACAAAACATAAAAAAAATTAAATGGTTTCCCCTTAACTTTGTAATTTGTTTTCCCCATAAAGATAAAGGATGGTTACTCGAAATGGATACCCAAAAAACAAATACTACTAAAGTGAGTGAAGTCCTTAATAAAATGGAAGATGACCTTAAAAATGTCATCCAACCATATGGTTAGCTATGATTTGACCTTCAAACAATTTTTATCTCAATTTTTAAAAATTCTCAACTCAGGATATATTTTTATTTTTATATATGTGAAACGAAGTTATTGTCAATGGGACTTCATTCTAATAAAAATCCTTACTCAATACTAAATAATATAGATATATTTACTCGAGAAATTAAAATAATTTGCAGATAAAATTAATATAAAATCGATACCGCAAGTGTATAGTTGAGGTTTTTTTTTAAAGAAAAAAAAAAACACCGAGTTCTCTCTTAGAAAATATTTTTTCACAAAACTTAAAAAGGTACTAGAAAATAAAGCAAAGCAAAGCAAAGCAAAGAGATTAAAAAAAAAACCTTTCAGTTTCAAATCCAAGATGTGGCTTGAAGCTGTCTGCCATCTCCTTTACTATCCTCCTCTACTAGATTTGCCTGAAATTTGTTGTGCTAGATACTGAGGGAATGGGCTTCCTTTTATAGTAGAGAGGGAAGAGGAAAACAAGCTGTCCTTTTCGCCCTTCTCTTTCTTAAGCATCGTCAAAGAAATGTAATACCCTGGGACGTATGAGGACGGACGTCTATCATTTTCAAAGACGTCAATATTCTTGTGCTTCTTCTTCTCCTTCTTTTCACAGTAAAACGTCTTATGCCTTGGAGAACTCAAAGTCTCGTACATATAACGTTACACTTTTCAATCAAGGTTAGATAATAAATCAATTAGGCCTCCTATCAGCACAACATTACAAAATAGAAAACTTTCTCCAAAAAAGAAATAAATAAAGGAAAAAAAATCAAGAACCCATCATGCAGCTTTGATAATATTAATTTGAAAGCACTTGATTAGAAAAAAATAAAAAATAAAAAATAAGAAGAAAAGAGTGTTAGAATCCATATAAATTTCACACTACAAGAATAAAAGGAGTTAGTGACTGTCTAGACCATCATTAGTTCTTAGAAAACTATCATTAAACTTAATTAGCGACGGTATTAAAGTCGTCCGTAAAATACTTATTGCTAATTTTTTATGACGGTTTTTTTTATCCGTAGCTAAATTTAGCGACGTAAAAAACTATTGCTAATTTTTAAAAATCCGTTGCAAAAAAGAGGAAATAACGAGTGTTTTATATTTTTGTCGCTAAAACCATCACAAAATTTTGTCATGTTTGAGACGGTAATTTGAAAATCGTCACTATTGAACGACACCTTTGTTGAAACCGTCGCTAATATGTCGAAATTTTGGGATGATAAAAACCATCGCGAATTCCGTCGCTAATAACTTTTTCCAATTTATTTTTAAAATTTAACCACAATTTAAATTTTTTAAATTAACCAATTGCTATTTTAAATTAAAAAAAAAGACTCAAAACATAATATTTTAAAATTCCATAATATTTATTATAAAATTTATTAAAATATAATACATATTTAATTATTAAATTCTAAGAAAAAGTAGAAAGTTTTTTATTATTACAAGAAAACATGAAAGCTACAAGAGATCGGCTAGGTCATCACTTAGATGTTGGGTGGAATCGTCAAGTGAGGCTCGACGGATGAACGGCCTACTCGCATATTCGGACCATCTGTCGCATCCGTCTCATCATCTAATATTGCTCTCGAGTATATTCCTTAACTCATTTTTTATCCCCAAAAGCATTGTAACAGAACTCGGTAGATCCCGGATCTATTCCGTATGTCTAAAAGTACGATCCTTCAATTTTTTTCATCGTGCCTCATTACCAACATGGAACTGCGAAGTGATCGAACTAGAGGTTGTACTTAAATTAGAGTAATAGTGAGAGGCATGTAACCCGAGTTCGTATATCTTTTTTCTCTTACTATCTCCTCCTTTAACAGACTTTCTTAAAAATATCATTAATTTCAATGTCACTCGATGAAGTATCCTTTGTTTCTCGACTAGCAACCCCTCCTCGATTATTTTTTCGACGGTCTCCTCCATAAGTGTAAAAAATATAATATTAAACAACTATGTCAATATATATATATATATATATATATGAAGTAACGTTATAAATTACTATTAAACTCGCATAAGTGACATACGTATATGTATGAAATAACGTTATAAATTAATAACTTACTCGATAACTCTTGCCCGTTGATCGACGAAAAGGTATTAATCATTAACCTTTTTTTATGAGTCCTCGAGAAAATCTCATGAGGATCGAGTTTGCAACCCATCTCATCACGCCGAAACAAATATAAGTAAATATATGAAATATACTCAAATATTTAATTAATTATATTGAAATCAATATATTATATATATATATATATATATATATATATATATTTATTTATTTACCATGCATATTGAGTACTCTCTATGGCCGATCGACCTCTCCGTATGTCTTGAAGGACTAGCTCCGACACCACTAGTCTCACTCCTGCGGTTCGAGCCATCATCTCAAATCGGGCAATAAACTTAGGTTTTGCTAATTTTTTATGCCATACATCCCATATGTCTTTTGTGATGTATGTTGGGTTGGGATTTCTCTTAAACCGATAAAGGAAGTCGAATACTGCTTCCATGCCAAACTTTACATGCTTTCTTAACGTTTTACTCGATATTCTTCTCCCACGTAAATGACTTCTACAAGAAAATTAATAATATTCATTATTACATTTAATTGAATATTATTATTTATTTATTTAAATATGCGGTAATGTAATAAATTGATTAAATAAAATACTATCCTAAACTCTTGCCACTAGAAGTCTTTTGTTTTTGGACTCATTTCTTCGACGTCCATCCGGATACGTCAAAATACTCATGAAATATCTTAAAGATCTTATGAGTGCAAATATCGAAAGGATACAACCTATGAAAACGAGCTTTAACTTAACAATAAAATGAATGCATAATTATGGTAATTGAGAAAAAATATATTTCATAAAATTATGCACAAAACATGCTTATTGCGACCAACAATAATGAGCATAATTCGAGGATCGACTATGGATCCGATAGGTTCCGAAGTCGATGTGGGAGGGACGTTCTACGATAAGCCTTGATCGGGAACAAAATAGTCATCCTGTTGGACCAAGAGCACCGATGATGATGAAGGGAAAGATGGGCGGGGACGTAGAGGTCCAAAAGAGAACGGCTTAGGTCGAGACATGTCATGCATCGAAGGGTTTATCACAAGGGCACCAAGAGGGTAGTACGAAGGCTTGTCCATGGGGGAGCCATTCGACTAGGAATGAAAGGAGGACAACATCCACGTCCACAATCACTCGCTAAAATCAATATCTGAACCACTACCCTCATCATATGACATAGGCCATCGCATGCGAGAATGCCTCCTACCTCGAGACATTATAGCCTACACATCATCAAATTCATTAGTATTAGAATTAAATATTAATATTAACATATAACATTGATATTAACGTGAATAATTTCAAATAGATTTATTTAACGAAGAATAAATAAATTACAACATGGACAGAACACACATATATATATTTAAATGTTACCTTAAAAATTAGAAGTAAATAGTGTAGGACAACAAAACCATATCGTTAATCACTATCATAATTATCATTGTTACATTGTTTATCTAAGTCTTCCCCACCATGTGTTTTAAACTCAACTTCATTCTCTACATTAATTTCACTCCATTTTAAATCTATTAACGCTCCAGATTGGATCGGTTAATGAGTGACCTTCTTCATCATCAATTTAGATGACATTGTGTTGGCCTTTCATTTGATTTTCTTGAAAAGGTTCTATAATTTTTTGGATGGTAACAAACGATTCGAGCACATCCACCATCAACTCGGGTTTTACCTTATATACAACCAACCAATCACGTCCGATACACTTCGATGTAGGATATGTTACATACACTCGATGCACTTATGTTGCTAAAATGAAGGGATCAAATTTATTTGACGTCTCACGACTATTGATCCCTACTAGTCCATAATAATCATGAACTCTTGTACCAATGCCAAGTGTATTATCATACCAATCACATTTGAATAATATGGTTTTTTTGGTTGGTAAGACATGTTTCGATATATCGCTTAACCTATCATAGTAGTTATTTTCCTCCACATCGTAACTAACTCATTTTACATATACCCACTACACATTGTTGCTCTATCCAAAGCATGAACTTTGGTGTTGAACTTATACATTTTTACAATGTATCCTGGATATGGCTTAACTTTTCGCAATGGTCCTTTTGTAAGATCTTTAATGTAATGGTCGGTTATCGTATTGGGTTGTGCATTACTTGATTGTAAAATTTGGATCTATTACTTAATGTTAGTATAAATTTTCATAAAACCTTTTTTATAACAAAAGAAATTTGAAATTTTTTATACTCACATATCGATAGAACTAGGATGCAAAATTAGTTTCAAGCCGAACATCTATCTCGTTCTTCGATATGTCGAGATTACTTTGATATAGTTAGGTCACAAAATATTTATGGAAGAAAAAATAAAATTCGTATTATGTGTAATTAAAATTGATAATTAATGAAGTTCGGTATTGTAATTTTTTATGGCTATAGCACTTACTTAGTGTAAGGTGTTACCTCATCACGAGTTCAACAAAATGTAGTTATGAGATGCTTTTTTCTTGATCCGTCAAGATATACGATCTTGCTCGACTAAGTCGTCGACCTTTGGGTTTGAATATTGCAAGAATTCCTTTAATGTTGTCACTTGGTTCTCGAGAAC